CCAGGTTATTGAACAGAACAAAATTCTCTTCAGTCACTCACTAATCTCTAAGGAAGGAAATATCTTCACCTCGAAGGAGGCTAAAGTTTTCAAAGGATTGTTTATCATTTCAGAAAAATTTTGGATCCAGGTGTCTAGCCAGTGATTTCTCCATGCTTAGCATCACAGCTTTCTTGAAAACTTTCATAGAAATCAGGTGCTGTTTAAGTACTGGTTTTTTATGTTTTTCAGACATAACAAGTAGCCTTTATGTCAGTAATTCCAGGGGTTTTTTGCATACATTAATATACGAATTAAAAAAATTAAACTGAAAAAAAGTCTGAACCCGTGCCAGAGAGGAGAGGTCTGGAGGAAAGGGAAATTGATGAGGTTTATGCTTTTTTGGTGCCTTTGTTTGACACATTGTGAGTTGTTGCCAGGATTTCTCACCCTAGATGATACTTGTTGTTTTAGGGAAATATTTATTTCCCAGAGAGAAGGAAACATTTTCTATATAGGACGTGATAGCTGCTTTGGTGTGTGGTGATGACTTTAAAGTTCTCTATTCCTGTTAATAGGTGCTAACTGTAGAACAGAAGCACTCATAAGCCTCCTCAGAGGAAGAGAATGGGACACATACTTCCACTTCAGTCAACAGTAGAAATTCCTGAAGTGGTTTTTTTTTCCATCTTATCTTCTACCTTTTCTTTGTAGATCTCACAGATTGTAGTGGGCTTGCAAACAAGGTCTATTTAGTAAAAACTGCTGGGATTCAACTGTAAGGGAAATTTTTCTTCACCTTTGCTGTCATTTTACATTCCATTTAGAAGGTAAATCCATCCCTTTAGTAGTCTTTTAATGAGCAAGTTTCAAGCCATACATGAAAAGTCCATTGTGCTTTATTTGCCATAGTGCCATGTCTCTGTTGGGTAACTCCTGGGCTAGATAATTGAGTTGGAAAGGTCTCTGTTCCCAAACTATTAATCTAAGTCCCCAGAACTCAAAACCTGGTTTGAATACACCCCATTTCTTTCATGCATGACTATTCCAGAAGCTGTGACTTCTGATGGTGCTTAAAGAAGTATCTAATTGTTCTCTTCTTGATTCAAGGCTTGTGTGAACACTTTGTGCAATTCCTCCTGTCTTGAGGTTCTCCTCTGCTTACCTCTTGGCTGTTAGCTACCAAGTACCTTCCAAACTCAAAGGTCTGTGGAAACTGGTGAATAAAAGAAAGCTATTGAGGTTTTCTGTGTTTACTTAGTCCTATACAGATTTATACTCATCTGCCTGGACTGTTTGCCTTCAATAGAAATAACTGAAGTAGAACAACTCTGAACAACAGAATTCTTGTAATGCTGTTCAACTGCATGTACTCTCCTTATCTTGGTATTTTCAAGCTTGGATCTTTGCTTCTGATTGGTGTCCAAAGATACTGTCCAAGAAACTGTCAGGGATCTATGCCAAGCCAGCTATGAGGGCCATGCAACAACAAGGCAAGATATAGCTGGCCCGCTGTCTGTGCGTGCGGAAAGAGGAGGTGTTATAGTCAGGCAGCTCTGAAGAGCTTTCTCTCTCTGAGTCTTCATAAAAAAGTTGAAAATTTCTGCATTGTCTGTTCCGTATGAAGGACAGCAGGAGCATGTTTCCTAGCCTAGTGTCCAGCTAGTCCCTAAGTGTCAACTCATTAATGGAAATTCTTTGCACATACTTAATGGGGAGAAATAAGGGTGACCTGTTTTCTCCATAGTAAAACAATGTTTTTGTTTACTTGCTTTAGGAGATGTGAGTAATAAATGGGGCATCTAAGATGTGTTAGTAGAATAATTGTCTGAAAGGGAGTGTTTGATATTGACAGTACTAGACAAGGCCGTGCTGTATAAAACGATGGTGCTAAGCTGTGTCTTTGAATAGATGCCCAGGACTTTGGGGAAAGCCTTCTGGTGGCTGCCTGTTTTGCAGCATTTCTAGGTCTTCAATTCCAGGAAGCCCACAGACAGATAAAGGGACTTGAGTAACACTGTTCCTTATCTATCTCATTACATTTCAAGATTTTAGGCAGCTACATATTGTTGAGGTTTTGATGGCTTTTGGAGGGCTGTATTCTCAGAATGGTGTGAGCTGAGACAGCTTGCTGAGAAAAGCTAGTCATGAGACAGAGAGAAGGACTTTCTCTGAAGTCTTCAGGAAGGACAAGAATCCAGTGCTGTACAGCTTTAGTTTGGAAAGACCTGGTGATACTTTTTTTTCTGTCTGGGAAGACTGAGATGGGGAGACTTTCTTGTAGAGTGAAGCTAAATCTTACATCGTGAAGTGACTGCACACAGAGCACCCTAAATGGATAGATTCGTTTTGTATTTGTTACAGGTATCACCTGAAAGAGCAAAGAGGCATTTCAAAGATGACACCATAGCAGCAAAACAGGCAGCCAGCAATTCAGTATCCACTATTACTCCAACATCCCTTCTTGGGAGCAGGACCTGGTTGATACCAAAGAAATCTGTATGCTGTCAGCCACTTCTTTAATTTCCTAGCTAGGGTAGACCAGGAGGCAGCACTGAGTTCCTCACCTCTCTGGTTCTTCCCAAAAGCATTGTCCAGCCCCATAGCAAACATATAATGAATCATTCATCTTTAATAGATTATGCAAATTGAGAACATCCAATCAATGAAGATCAATATCTGCAACCATTTAATTGCCAGCAAAAACATTTTAAGAATGAGCATTATCTGAAGTCCTTTCTTGGGTAATGGCACCATTAATCCAAACATTGGATCCTGGCCTAAGCGTAGAGGAAAAACTCTCTGCCCCTCTTCCCCTGATGCCTTAGAGGGTGTCGAGGGGCTTTTTTTTCCCTTTTCATTTCCAGTTTCTGAGTTTCTCCATCATTACCACCAGTGAACAGCTCCCAGTGCTAAAAGTTCTGCTTTTGTTACTCTGCACTGATTGAAATGTCGCATACAGATTGAGATGTTAGTGCTAAGTTGCCACCTGGGAATGTCAAGCTGGGTCTGAAACGAACTTTCTCACTTTTGGATCCAGATGGATCAGATGGGGATGTTCTTGAGCTGAGCTGGGAGTGTGGCAGGGAACAGAGTGAGAATGGCACAGGGTGGGGGGGACATGAAGATATTTTTTTGCCTTAGCCTATAGTCTCTTCTGGGAGGCCAAATCTATCTCCTTCTGTGCCCATGTGAGAGTAATGTCCAAAGCTTGTGTAGTGTTCCCAGCCTTCTAGAAGCCTGCTCTCACATTAACAGGCTGGAATGAACCATCTTCACTTAGGAAGAAGGACTAAAAGGAATTATTTTAATGGCCCCTTTGAATCTTAGGCTCTGATTGTAGACCTTTACATCCAGCTGTGGGGATCTGCCTTGCTCTCCTACTGGCTTTGCCCCCCAAACCAGGAAAATATTTCCTGTAAGAGATGTAGGTCTGCTAAACAATAGATGAGCACCAGCTGAGTTTTGCCTTGCATATGCAAATAAAAAGAAAGGTAGAACAATTTTGCCACAGCTAAACCATTTTTTTTCCAGTTGGCTAAGAAACAGCACGGCTACAAGGATTCTGAATTGAGCCTGATAGCAGTAAAAGCCATGAAAAAAGTCAGGGGATGTCACGCTTTCTAGATGTTCCCTAAATAATGTAGTTCATCTCCCCATGTTCTCCACATCATTTTGTAGAACTCACACTGGATAGCCTCTGTATTTGAGTTAACCGTTACTATTCCTGCCTGATGCCAAAGTTCTTCATAGCCAAAAGTTGCATGCAACAACATGCCTTTGCTCTGTGTTTGCTGAACAAGCTATGACTTCCTGCCTCAGCCATGAGCTGCTGCTTTGACAGCAAGGGCTATTAGCTGGGGCTTTTGCAAGAAAAAGTTGAGATACAAACACCAGTGCTCTTGATTCTGTGCTATTAGAGGACAACTTTTTGGCCAAGAGACAACAGCTTCTCCCCTTGCTAACAGGATTTAGACCTCTTTGTCATGCGTTGTTTCTCAACTTAACGCCATGAGGTTTTTAGATTGGCCACAGCATTTGTAGAGAAAGAGAGATATACCAATCAGGGGCAAGTCACTCAAGCCTTGCCAGCTGCTTTAGCTACCCAAGAGGAGATGTGCAAATCTGTGGTAGCTGTGTGAGCAGCAAGCACTGGCAACTAAAGCCAGAGAAGAAGTGCTGTATGAATTAAGCACCGTATGAATAAAGGCACCAGAATACCTCCTTACAGCTCTAGACGTACACAGGGCAGGCAGTCTAACACTAACATCATGACAGCATGTGTGTGCCTTGTGGCCCCAGGACAACCCTGTGCTGCTCAGGTTCTGCATGTGCCACCAGCAAAGAGGAAGTTTCAGTGAAGCATCTGCTGTAGAGATTCCTTACTGTTTCTGTGCATCCTGATTCCTCTGCTGTCATGCGCTTACACACAGTTTCTACTCTCCCAGACACACCTGACTTTAATGTGCCCACACATGAGGGAAAGCTGTGCACAAATTATTTTTGCTAGCTTTCATTAGAGACTCACGGGCTTAAGGAAGAGGGAGTTTAGCAGTCACAGTTCAGCAGACCTCAGTATTTAATTTGCAAATGCCCCTTCCAAATGCCAGGGCTGAATAGAACTTATACTATTATTTCTCCCCAAGAAAACCAAGTGCAGATCATGGATAATCCATGACCCTGTTGTTCTCAGAACATAAGAAAAAAATCACAGTGCATATTTGGACATATCTGTCCTCCACCAGCATCCAACCCTAAGTCCCATCTGGGCACACAAGTTCCCGATTCACATCTGGGTTTTCCTGTCTTTGAGTCACACCTGGACACATCTAGGTGTACCCAAAACTGCCAATACTCTGAATTTCAAGCTTCTCTTGAGCCCTTATGTTCTCCACAGTCTTTCTGTCTCTTTCCATGTTTGCCACAGAGGGATATCTTGCATTAGCAGAAAAAGCAGAAGCTAATGGTGATGAGGGAAATAAATAAAAAGCTTGGTTCTGCTGTTTGGTCAGGCAGCTTACCGGTCACCACAGGGTACGTCTGGGGTCCTGACACATTTGTCCCCAGGTCTGGGTTAGCAGAGGTGGATAGACTTGATTTGACTTCATCGAGACCAGGGGTCAGAGCTGGGAGGGAGTACTCATTACCCTGGGGAAGAGAGGAGAAAGACAGCTCGCTATTGATGCGACGGGAGAAAGGGAAGGGTGTACAGATGGGGGGGAGGAAGAGGAGAGATGCAAACCCCTGCACAGATGGAAGAGGAGGAGGAGGAGGAAACTGAGAAGATAAAGTGACAAGAGGGTTGTGGGGGGTTCCTAGGATGAACTATCCCACCCACCTGCGTGACACTGTGAAGAGGAAGAGGGGTGAGGGATCTGACCTGTTTTCTGTGATATGGCTGAGCCTTCGTTCAGAGCTGTGGGGATGGCTGTCTGTGCCAGCCCAGGGGAAAAGAAAGGGGGAATCCTCATCCCCTCCTCTTGGCTGAGTGGAGGTGGGAGATGTTTGCCCTGGTGACAAAGACAGCTGGGGCATAGGACTGCAATGACATGACTAGGACAGGCAGGCTGTAGGAAACAGCCACTGTTGGCCCACTGTCGCCAGGGTCTCTGCTTGAGTCATCTGCCTCCCCTCCACTGCTACCTCTGTCCTAGCTTTTTAAAAACAAAGAAGCCTCATCCCCTGCCTCTGTCACTCTGTGCATTGGGGTATGAAATTGGGGAGGGGGGAGCCACATGGCTAACAGAAGGGTGGGAGGGGGAGAGCCATTGAATCTGAAAGGGTGTCCTGTCCGAAAGGCTCTGGTAATTGCCTTTTTATTGTGGCAGCCTCCAGACCAGACGCGGGAGCTGGAGAAACCGGGAAGGCTACAAAACAGCAGGAAAAGTTGCTCTGATTAATATTACGTTAAATTAAAACTGATTTTCTGCTCTTTCTCCTCTGTTTTTTTCCATGCACTTCCCCAACCCCCTCCTCACATCTCCCCCTCCTCCAGTGGGCTCCCCGCATGCTGCCCCCTCCCCACCCCTGTCCCTGCTTGGCTAGGACTGCCTAGTCATTTCCAATTCCTTCTTGTATTGATCTTCCTGTAGAAATCAGTTTTGTAATTAGCTGCAAATTAGGCCTTCTACTGGGGGTGAGCCTGCCCCCTGATTTATCACCAGAGTAATTCGCTGTGATCGGAGAGAAATTAAAATGAACTCAATTAGGCTTCGGATTTGCTTTATGGGCCCTGCTCAGAGTTTCAGGGGGAAAAATGACTGTGCTGGTGCTTAATAGTCTAATGAAAGTAAATAAAGGTTATTCATTGTAATAAACCCAGGGACTCTGGGATGAAGGGAGTCCACAGCCAGCCTCTCCTTCTCTTCCTTTGTTGGTTTATGGCTTGGGGCGGTTTAAAAAGACTTTTGATTTTCATTTTATTAAGACAAACAGCTTTTGGGATAAAAGGCCAGGAGAGCGGGGGAGTAAAGAAAAGGTGGGCAGAGCTGCAGAAGTGTGGAAAACTAGGTTGGAGATGGGAGTCAAGTCTCAGCTTTGGGCCATGAAGGAAAATGATCCATTAAAACCCAACCCTGTGGCTCACTGGTCACTGATGTCACCTAAGAGTGCCGGAGTTTCTGTGCAGTGCTGTGTGCCACTGAACATGCGTGGTGGTGTAGGCATGTTCATGGCAAGAACATGGATGCATAACTGCAGGTGTGAGTGCAGAGGGAAAAGCAGATATGGGGATTTAGGGACAGCATAGTGTGAGTGTAGAGAGGAGGTAGAGCTCATGTACACATGAGCATCAGCACAGTGATATAGTTACAACTAGAAAGTGCTGTAAAATGTAAATGTGGTGTATGTGCAATAATAGGTCAGTGTCAGAACATGGGGTGGAGAGGGGGAGAGGGATTTTGGTGAAGGAATGTCCCTACCATCATTCTATCAGTGCCTGTGGTTTCCCATTACCAGGCCAGGCCCTCACCTGCTCAGATTTGATGTGCTCTGATGTTTGAAAGACGTCAGGGTAAGAAGGACGCTCAAAAACTCGATCTAAAGCTTCCAGCTGCTGCTGGGTGAAAGTGTCGCCACGAAGGTGCTTCCGCAAACTGTCCACGCTGCTCTGGGAATCTCCATTGGGAACTGAGCCCTCGGATACATCTGCAGGGCACAGACAGAGAAAACAGGGAGTTAGCACCACCCTGGCTTGGATTGGCAAGGGATGCAGGGCAAGGACAGAGTGGGGAAGAGTGAGGCCCTCTGCTTCCACCCAGGTAGCTGTGCCACTCCCGAGGGAAGGGGAAGCTGCAGGGACCCAAGGGAGCCCCCTCTTCTCTGCTGGAGTGGCTAGGCTGTTCCTGTGGGCTCTGTGGGACTCTCCTGCCCGGAATGAGTGAGGCTGTGGAGAATGGTGCTTGGCTCAGAGATGAGTTTCGGTTCCGCTGATTTGCAGTGTTAAAAATTGCCAAATCTCCATTGCTGAGCATAAAATGGGAGCAAAGCGCAGCGATTAGCACTGCTAGAAGACTGGTGGAGGGGCAGTTCATAGAGAAACCAGAGTGCTGAGGATGGACTGTACTGGAGAGGACTGAGGAAGCCTGCAATGTTAAAAAGGCTCTCTTACAGCTTGAAGGGAAGTCAGTCTCTGTTGTAGCTCCCCAGTCCCATGAACAGCTATCAGTGTTATAATTTCCTTCTCATCTGATCATACCCCAGATGAGTCTTTCATCCCCTTCAGATAATAGGAACAATCCTGCTTCTGATTCCATGTTTCCCCAGAGACAAATCTCTCCCTGTGGGGCAACTGTCCTATCTAACATACACTGGTTTCTGTCCACTTGCCTACATGTAGCTCGTGATTTATCTTAACCCATATATCTGCTATAAAACTCCCTCCAAAATGAGATGAATCTTTGTCAGTCCTCCTTCTTAGCCAAAATGTATTACAAAACCTAGTCCTACTCAGTGGGAATCAGCCTTCCTTTTACTAGGAAAATAGCCATTTTGGCAGAAGCTTTCCCAGAACTGCATTTCTGCCCCTACAACAGCCCTCTGACACAGTCCAGTCTCACTGCAGTGCCTCCTGCCACATTCCAGGGTGTCTCTATTTCTGTTGTGCCATCCCACATCTCTTACAGCCTACTCATCCCCTTTGAGGTGAGTCCATTATAAATGCCCTGCCCCATCCAAAGTGAGTCTTTTCCTGTGATAAACCATCTGATCACCTACCTGGTTTTGTGGTTTTTCTTCTTCCCTGTTATCCCCCAACTCAAATGAGGTGCATTTATCTCAGTTATAACCCCTTTTTATCTCAAGTGAGTGAGTCTCTTGCTATTAGCATCTGTCACATCCAAGGTGAGTCTGTCTGTTATAACCTCCTGTCCCAGCTGAAGTGAATCTTCCTCTGTCATAATCCCTCATCTCATCTGAGGCAAGTCTGCTCATTATAATCTTCTCCAACTGTGCTGAGTATCTTTCTGCTGTCACGTCTCAGCCTAACTTCGGTGAGTCTGGTTATAATCCCCTGCATCATCCATGCTGATGTACCTCCATACCCTCCATACTGAATCTCTACCTACTGTGCTTCATCAGACACAAGTCTCACTGTCTTATCACCCTGACTAATCTAAGATCAGGCTGTCCCTCTTGTGCTGTGATTGTCTTCCTGCTTTTTCATTGTTATTCCTCGTACTTAAACCTTTCTTGGTGGCCTCCAGTCTGTGAATCTCAGAAACTTGCTGTCTGTCAAGAAATTGGTCAAAGGTTCTGCATAGACCTTTTCCCTCCTCCATGCAATCCCAAGGTGCTCATGGACACAGGATGCTTCCAGGAGCCTGGAGCGGCATTTACTGTGCAATGAACACCCAGAACTATGCCACTCTGCTGCTTCCTCTTTTAGCTCATGGGTGGTGCCAAGATGGGTATTTTCTTGGCACCATTAATGCCCAGCTGGTGGCCCAGAGTTATGACTAAGCCTGCTGCCTTCTGGCTATGAGATATATCCGTTTATAGGTGATTATACGATATGATATAATCAATAGTACATTATATACAGTAACGTAGTACAGTACCACTCACAAGACCATAGAAAATATTACATATTGATTTGTCCCTGCCAGCAGCCTTCCCTCGAGCAGCCCCTTCTCTCTTTCTTTTTCTCCCCAAGCCAGAGAAGGGCTGTTTACTGGCACTGATCCCTGGCATTTTCTCCTCTCCACAGGTTTATTTGCCCAAGGGAACATTCTCAGGTTCCTGAAATCTGGAGTTCATGACAGATTTGACTAAGAGAAAACAAAGCAAAGATCAGGGTTGGTGGACTGCACACTGCATGTGTGATGCTGTTACTTTGGGGGGTGGGTTTCAGGAGGACTAGGGGAGTTCTGATCCTCCCTGCAGAAAGCTGGCACAGAACTCCTGGGTCCAGACTCAGAAAAAAAATTATGTTTCTGTATCAGTGCTTGCCTCAACCTGTCTGTAGCCTGTGAAGCTGTTTGTCTTTGAGGATTTTTCCATGTGTCAGTCAGTGTGCATGACTGTGCACACCATGATGCTAATACACATGGGTATTTTTGCAGTAGATAATTATTCTGGTGTTTAGATTCTGCATCACTGTACATGCCTGTCCAGGCATTTGTCTGTGGTGGCTGGTTTTGGCTATATCTGATTTTGAAGGATGGCAGCCCTACACTTTGCTTAGTGTTTGGTGTGAGTGGATGAATGTACAGTAAAATCTGCATTGATTGTTGTTAAACCAGGTTTTACTCTTAGTGAGCTGTCCTGGATGGTTGCACAGATTAGTGCACACATGCACATGTGTTTGCTATTCCTGTCTGCCTTTAGATTCCTGTGCACGTGTGTCTCCCGCGTGTGCACAGGCCATGCCTTTGTGCGAAGAAGCTGAAATCACAGCTTTCCCAAGTCGCTGTAAGAGTCTCTTTTCCTTCATTTATTCAGGGGCCCTTCAGATCTTGACAAATCTGTCACTCTAAATTTGCGAGAGATTATGGTGCTCTCTGCCTAGCACGGAGAGAGGTGATATATGATATCTGCTGCCCCTATTGATTGCCTGATCTGGTGGCAGAGGGCTGGCGAAATGAACTTGAAATGAACATCATGCCTCAACTCATTGTGCGTATAATACACTACTTAATCCCACATTTTTGAGCCGCTATGGAATTCAATTGATCAATCATGTCCCTCTGATAGTACTGTTTTAGGGGTTATTGCTGCTCTGCTCACTGACCTTTCTATTTATTTATTTATTTATGTCTCTCTATGTGTGTGTTTATGTGTGTGTGTGTGTACACACGCACATAAGTGTGTATTTGTATTTGTGAAACTCAGGACCAGCTGTTGAGAAAGGATCTATACAGTCAGTGGGGAATGAAAGAAAAGGATGAAGGAAGGAGAAGAGCAAAGAATGGGATTAAAAAAAAAAATCAGAATGATCAAAGCAAGCAAATGGGTAGGAAGGGGTGGAAAAGTTGTAAGGAGAAAGGCAATGCTTTAATTTAGGTGGAAGTTGCTGGGGGGAAGCACAGTGGTGGGGATGGGAGAGTGGGGGTTTGGGGCACTCAGCCCTGGCCTAGGCTTAAAAATCTGCAAAAGCAAGAAAAATTTTGACAGAGGCCTGTAGGCTACCTTGAGGTGGATCTTGTCTAAACAGCTTTCAGTATTATTTGACTTAATAATGGTAGGATACACGAATCCCAAACTTCACAGAGCAATAATATGAACTGTGTATATAGATTTTACTGATGAAGCAGAGATTTTGCAGAGATGATCCTGAGAGACAGATTTATATGTCTTGTGTTTCTAACATTGAAACATTCACAGTCACAGATCATTTTATTTTCTTCAAAACTAAAGGATTATAAATCCCCTGTATTTGTTTTCTGGTGTCAAAACCTATAGAGGATGTGTTTTCATTTTTTCCCTGAAACTGCAGGGGCCAGACGCTTATATCTGGCAACTTAGAAGTTGCAGTTCTCTTCTAAGCATGTGAATCTCTGAGTTAGACTATCAGGGGAAGCCCCGAATTGTGTCATACCCAATTGTCATATGTCATATGGAAGCTGACAACCACATGGATATGAGCAAAGGTGGCAGAAAGGAGCGGAGAGGACTTTGGAGAAGAGATGGGGTCCATCAAAGGGTTGTGGGTGCTAGTCAACTGAGAGCTCAGGGCCAAAATTTGAGTTGGGAAAGACTAGGAGATCCCATGAGGAATGGCACTGTGGTGGGCAATAGTTACTTCTATTGATGAAGAACAGTGCTAGGAGTAAAAGCTTAAGGGACGGAGATTTGCCAAGAAAGTTGATATTGGAAGGGATTCTGTTGGAAGGGGTGAAGCAAGGTTTCAGCTGTAGGATAACTATGGGAATGCCACCTAGGTAACTGTGGTAGCTGTACCATTAGGAAGCACCTTCATCTTTCCCAGTTCCCTTTTATTGGCAAGGGAAACTCTGTGGTACTGTAACATAGGGACACCTCTCTCTTAAATTGTAAGGATCTTAACAAACAGCTTGAGAGGTGAACCATGGCCTCAGTTGCTTTGTCCCTCACAAAAGAGCACACAGTTACTGTCAGTGTGATCAGGACTGGCCTTGCACATGTGACAGGAAATATCTTTCCTCCCCAGGGACTGCTGAGGGAGTGCACACAGCCCGTGTTCAGCATAAACCCTTGTCTTGTGACACAAGACACAGAAATGCTCCACGGGTGTCACAGAAGTATCCTGACAGATAACAAGGAAATGCTGTGCCAGAAGACACAGGAACAGCCTTAACTACATCTAACACAAGGAATATGCCTATTAAATAATTCCAAAAAACCTTGATGTTCCCAGGCCTGGAAGCCACAAAGACACCATCATGTACAAGTAGCACAAAGCAGCATAATACCATTACTTCCCTAGCTACAAATGACAGCACTCTTGCTCAGGGTGGGACAGGACTATCTCAACAAATAACTCAGGAGTATTTCTGACATAGGGAGACTTTTGTGGCACAGAAACATGTAGGAAGGTAATGAGAAGCTTTGCAGCCACCACACAACCACAGAGGCACTGCTCTCTTTTGGGGCAAGAACTATTACTGTCCTCATGACCTGTCTGCCTGCAGCCTTTTGGGGCTCTGATCTCAGCTAAGGCCTCACAACTC